ACATTTTTTACTTAGTAGGTGTTTTGTTTAATACATAATACCTATAGTTTTAGAAATTTTGTTCTCAATTAGCGTAATATGATTTTTCCATTTAAGATGTTCATCAAATATTATTCCTAAAATTTTAGGTAATGAAACTCTGTTTACTATATTGTTATTTATTATTAGCTGAGAAAGTTGTAGGGGCAAGTCATTGGATTTAGATTGGTTATGGAATAAAATGTATTTAGTTTTACTGATATTCAAAGAAAGTTTGTTTGATTTAAACCAGTCATTAAGATTTTCCAGCTCACGATTAACTCTATTAAATCGATTAAAATTAAATTGATTTTAAATTGGAACGGGTATAAAAAAGATTAGTGTCATCAGCAAAAAGAACACAATTAAGCATGTTTGAAGATAGATAGATATCATTTACGTAAATCAGAAACAGAAAGGGTCCAAGAATAGAACCTTAAGGAACTCCACAGCTTATTGTTTCTAACTTTGTACATGTTGAATCATAAGATACTCCTTGTTTTCTATTTTTAAGGTAGCTTTGTAGCCATTTTAAGTAGTTATTTGTTGCTCCATATGTTTCTAGTTTGTGCAAGAGAATTTTATAATCAACTGTGTCAAAAGCTTTTGACAAATCAATGAACAAGCAGAGTGTATAACTTTTTTTAGCAAACCCATCCTGTATTTGACTGGCTAAATCAGTTACAGCATTATGTGTTGCATGCCCTTTCCGTAATCCAAACTGTTTGCTGAATAAGATATTATGTTTTTCAAGATTACTATACAGTCTGTTATACATAATACGCTTAAGCAATTTTGAAAAACAAGAAAGAATAGATATAGGTCTGTTGTTATATGGCATAGAATCGTCATCATTTTTGTATACGGGGACTACTCTTGCTATTTTTAATTGACAAGTAAAAATACCAGTTGTAATTGAAAGATTGAAGATAAACAAAAGAGGTAATTTAATAGCATCAAAAACAGCTTTAAGAACATTAACATTAATATCATCAAACCCGACACTTTTATTTATTTTAGGCGCATTAAAGGATGGCTGAAGTTCATTTAGAGACAGTTCCGACTCATCCATTACATAGTGAGTTTTTTTAAAATTGGAATGTTTTATTTCCAGGAGTTATATCAGCTGTTAATTTTTTTCCTATGTTTATAAAAAATTTGTTGAAGTTTTCAGCGATTTCTTATCAAATATTTCTCTGTTCGAGTTAAGCTTTATTTTATTTGGAATAGTGCTTTTATGTAATTGCTTTTTCCCTGTAACTTCTTTAATTACTTCCCATGTCTTTTTACTATTTCCTTTTGAATGTTCTAAGAGGTTAGAATAATAACTTTTTTTATTTGCTTTTTTATTCTTTCAAAACAATTTTTATGCTTTTTGTATGTAATTTCATTGTTATAAGTTTTATTTTTTTAAATTTTTTCATATAACCTTTATTTTTTTCTGGATGATTTTCTAAGACCATTTGTCATCCACGGATTATTTATTTTTATGGAATTAGATGTTTTTTTTTAAATTTTTGGAAAGGATCTTTCGTATTGTTTAGAAAACAAACGTAAAAACAGATTGTATGCATCATTAGCATCATTGCACTCAGTTAAAAGATTCCAATCAATTTATGTTAATAGTTCTCTAAATTTTATAATAGATTGGTTGTTTATTTGTCTTACATGTGTTACAAAGGAATTTTTAGATTCAGAAATTAAAGAGTAATTTATAAAAAAATTTTTGATTTGGCAAGTCATGGCAACATTAGTAAAAATGTTATCAATAATTTTAGAAGTATTGCGTATTACGCGCGTTGGTTTGTTGATTACAGGTATTAAACTGTTCTGAAGTAGAGTATTTACAAACCGTTTAGCGTAGGAATCATTATTTATTTTTTGAATATCTATGTTAAAATCACCAGTTATATAAATGTGTTTTTTATTGACTTTTGGCAATATATTTTTTAAGTGTTTTTCAAATGCTTAAAAATTACCATCAGGCGGTCTGTAAAGAGAAGTTATAAAAATATTTTTTTAAAGTTATAGCAATGTTTAAGCTTTGAAACTTTGCAATTGTCTGTCAACACATAAAATAAAGGGAATGAATTAAAATATCTTGAAACAAACAATAATTAGCGTTTTTATTTAACATTTTTTGCTTTTTGCAATATTTTTAGGGGGTAGAGCTATATCAAAACACTAAAAGGATAAAAAATAAATGTAACTTTAAAATTTTTTTTACATTCATTCCCTTCATCTGGGTACTTTCAATTACTGCTGAAAATTTGAAATTATTTCTTGACAATAAAGCATTTTTAAAAAACTAATATCTTATGTAAAAAAAACCAATAGTAAGATGTCATGTTAATATTAAGATGTTGCAAGTCAAACTAACCCGACGGGCATTTGTTTTTAAAAGTTACGATCTAAATGTATTTTAAATGTCTTTTAAACGTCTTTTAAACATTAATGTTTAAAAGACGTTTAAAAGACGTTTAAAACACATTTAGAACGTAACTTTTAAAAACAAATGCCCGTCGGGAAGTATCGTTAAAATGCAAATCTGAGAATATAAGAAAAATAAAATACAAAAGCATAAAAAATTTAAAATCCACCAGATAAATAAGCTTTTTGTGATGAAGTTTCTTTTATATATATAACCCAAGCTTTTTTTTAATGCTTATAACTTTTTTTTTCTTTTTTTTTACTTTGACATCATGTTTTTTAAGCATGTTTTTTAAACGCTTCGTATCTTTTTGATAAAATGCCAATGAATTTTTTAAGTCAAATTTTACATTAGGAAATTTAAAAACTCTGCTAAGACCGTATGTATCATCATTGAAATAAAGTATAGCAGAATTAACACCCACTTCAAGCAAAAATCTTGTAACGAATTACTATTTGGACATTGAGACCATATTATGTTATTAGGCCCTTCATTACTATTTTGTGTCTCTCCATGAATGCATTTTTTAAGAAGTAAATCACTAGATAAGTCATCGAAATCTTTCTTTATAACATCATAAATTCACACAGAAATATTTACTTTAGGTTTGTAATTATCAATTCCTTATTCACAATTCTTCCACCTATACCAACTATTTAAACCTCTAGGGCATAGTATATGACGTATATAACATAGTATATAGCTTTTTAAACTGTATGGGACATTGTCCACAATAATATGCCCAGCTGCTTCACTAGCTATTTTAAATTCACAAATGATATTCATTGTTATAAACTTAGGTCTGTATATTATTGTAGTCTCTCTAAGCCTTTAAAACTAAAACATAAGTATGGCATGAAGTCAATCAAGTATCAATCAATTCACTATTGGAACTCTCATCCTGTTGAAACTAAAAAAATATTATCCAAAATTAATTGAAGAAATGCCTTCATAGCCCATATAAAAAAGTTTCTCCTCAATAAAAATAATCAATGAACTATCATTTATGCAATCACCCCCTACTTATTCTTTATAACTAAATTTTTAATAAAATAAAAGTGTAAAACTTATAAATAAATTTATAAAACCCATAAAATAGAAATTAAAATATAAAACACATAAAATATAAATAAAAATATAAAACTCTAAAAATTAAACTACAAAACTCTAAAAGTAAAACATAAATATATATAAATGCCTAATTCTCTTTTTTTTCCTTTTTTTTTTTTTTTCTTTTTTTTTTTTTTTAATTATTATTTCTTTATTTTACTTTAATGCATATTCAATATTTCTATCTTCTAAAATTCTATGCTTAAAAAAATCTGTTACAAGTTTTATCTCAATTTAACCTGAGCCCATAATTTTGTTAAAGTAAATGGTATTAGCAGTTGTAGGTTTAAAACTATTTTCAGAATTAAAATACATTTTGAGGGTAAAGAAAAAGACAGAATCCAAAAAGTTAGTTGGATTTAAGACAATTCCCTGCATGTACTCCCCATTAGTCGAACGTTGCGTATACTTTTAACTTTGTAGGCGTCTGCTCTACTAAAAGTTTTTGTGAACGTCCGCGTTCATTAAATGCGCAAACAGACATTCCACTTTTTGAAACTTTTTTTTTTTTTCCTCAAAAAGTTCACTTTTTTTTTTCGCAACTATTTTAACATATCGAAGTTCTTTTTTTTTTTCGAAATTTATTTAGCTTTGTGAAACTTTTTTTTTTTTTAAATAATTTAGCTAATTCAGATGGCTTTTTTCTTCGAAACTAATTTAACTTTTTCAAAATTCTTTTTTTTTTTTTCGAAATTTATTTAACTTTTCGTAATTCAGCTTAAATATCGAAATTAATTTAGTATATCAAAATTTCTTTTTTTTCCCAAAATTAATGACTTTTTAAAATTAAATTTATATTTTCGAAATTATTTTAGCTATTCGATAGTTCTTTGAAAGTTTTTACAAAATCCGAAAAAATTTTTTTATTGACAACGCTTTCAAAAATGGTGTTTTCGAAAATCAAGCCTAGATTTAATAGAATTTCGTTTCATAAAAATTAATATTTGATTTAATGGGGTGGTACCCCCTTAAGGAGCAAACTTACAAAAGTTCATTGCGACTTGAATCAAATTTAATGATAGCGCCATTTGAATATTGCTGATTTTTTAAATATATAAATGGAGTCAAGCAAGCTTTAACAAATTGTATGATGTTACATTTGTAAAAGTATTTTATAAAGTATATGAGGGGGGGGGGGGGGGATAATTTCTTAAAGCATAAATTTTATAAATAAAAACAAAGATTATTAGTCCTACGACCTTATAATAAACTTTATAATAAATATGTTTTTTTAAACAAGAAAAAATATGAAGTTAAAACATCTGAAGTTATGTTAGATCACCAACTTGACTTTTCTAGATGACCATAACAAAAACTATCGAATTAATGGCACTTATATATCTCCCCACCCAACAAAATAACTCTTGAAAAACGAGAGGATATGGCAACAGAAAAAATTTTAAGATAAACAAACAGGGCAAACATAAAAATAAAATAGAAATTCAGCAGAAATTTTTTTTTATCAAATAATCCATTTTTAATCCGCATTGCGGCAACTCTACAAATTTTCGAAATTAAAATCCGTTAAACAATTTCTATGAAATTACATTTACTCGTCACTCAAGTCTCGTCACTAAAGTTACGTAAAAAATGCAAAATATATTAAAACCAAGAAGAAGAGAAAATATTCGTTTAAGAAAATACACTAAGAAAAAATAAATAAGTTGGAAAATCAACGCACAATTAAAATAAATTTTGTTAAATTAGAAAGCGAATTTTATAAAATCATAGCGCAATAGTGACTCCATTATCATTAGAAGCCTGACGATTTCCCCCACGCTTTACTCTGTTGACCACCTGCAGCAATAGAAGTAAGAGTAGGAAAGTCACTGACTGCATCTGCAGTATATTCCTTCTGCTGATAAACACATTTTTGAGGTTCCCACGGAGCACCTTTTACAACAAAGCCTTCTTGATTGTTTTCCTTTTCTTTTCCTGAACGTGGTTTAAGATAAGAGGCCATTAATTCTTGTTCTTCTTCACGCTCATGTACGGTATCCATCTAAAGAAAAAAATAATATTTTTTTATTTCTTGTCTTTAAAGAATTTATGATGAAAGAATTTAATTACACTTAAAGCCTTACATATTCTTCTTCTAGAAGTTGTAAATGTTCTTTGCAAGCTTCACAAGATTCTTCATCTCCAGAAATTACAACTAGATTTGGATTTTCTTGTCGAGGAAAGCGAATATCGACTTTGAACTTCTCCATAATCTTTCTCACACTACGGCCTTTTTGTCCAATTATACGACTGTGAATGCGACTGTCAATCATTACTTCTATCGAGACTTGGTCTTGCTGTAAAATTAATATATATATATATATATATATATATATATATATATATATATATATATATATATATATATATATATATATATATATATATATATATATTCAAACCAAAGCATTTTAATACAAGATAGCAAAAAAAAAAAAAAAAAAAAAAACCATGCAAGAGTGAAACCACTTTTTGTATTTTTGTTATATTAATATTACAAAAATACAAAAAAATGTTATCACTTGTATATTTTAATAATATGAAAAATGTAAATTTACCACTTCCTTGATGATAGCCTCTATGGCTTCTTTAGCTTTTATACACTTGTCCTCGTAACCAATTAAATGTATTTGATTGGCTTGTTCATCGTCATCTGGAGTATTAGATGCAGGAGGCACTCGTATATTAACACCATATTCATCTCGTAACTTTTGTATCATTGCTCCTTTGCGACCTAACAATAGCATAAAACATTTCGAATATCAATGATAAACCGTTAAGAAGTGTTACGATGTAAGCATTTTACATATGAAAAATGTCATTTACGTATGCATTACGCCATTTTTGTTAAACCAAAACTATTATATTATAGAATATTTATAATATCATTCGATATTGCTCATGTGTTTGAACTTGATTTGTAATATTTAATATTTTAATTTTGATTAAAAACCAGTTTTTTGCTAAAAATAGATTTTTAAATTAATTTTTTTTAACTTGAAAATTTCCCAAACTGAGGTTAAGAAAAAGTATTTTTTATTTGATAAATTGCTTATTAATAAATAATTTCAAATCAATGATTTTTTGATAAAACATTAAAAAAGAACTACTAGATTAAGCATGAGTGACCTATATCTCAACTCTTATAAGCAAAATTAAGATACTAATAAGCAAAAAAATTATAGACACTCTTATTAGTATGGTAATAATATTCCTTCCCTTATTAGATTTTAAAAAGATTCATGGCACCTATGCAGTATTACTTAATATAACCTAACCGTATATAGAAATTATTGTAAATAATGGTTGCTACTATATCAGCTCAATTACAATGAATTCTATAAACTATTAATAACTGTTTTTAAAAAATAGTTTATTACCTCTGAAAAAAAGTAAGTAATTTGCTCATCACCTCCTCAATTAAAAGTAAATTGTAAAAAGCCAACAAAAAAATATGTTATATATTTTTTTTTACATTCATACATACATAATACTAAATTTAGATTTGTTGTTGATTTATTTTTATTATAATTACATTGTTCATTATTCAAAATAAATATATTGCATTAATGTATTCTAATAAAGTTAAGAAATCAAACTTAACTACAATGCAATAATTTAAAATACAATGTTTTTCTGTTAGACAGCAAAACCTTGTAACAATACTTAATACAAAGATTTGAACAAAATATAAATAATATTTAAAAAATACCTATTAATTTTGAATGATATGCTTTTGGAACATTTACAACCATTTCAAATTGTCTGAGCTTTCTATCTTCATTTTCAGACTCAATTTCAGCATTACGTTTGCGGAGAGCATCCACTGCATTTTTTACATTGGCCACTGGTCCTGTAACAACTATGTGATCATCTTGTAGATCCGCAGATGGAACAGCAATATTAACATCATATTCTTCCATCATTTTACGAATACCAGCTCCTTTGGTCCCAATAATATAACGATGATTGTCAAATGGAATTTGTATCTTCTCTGATATGGGAACCAAAGACTACATTTAAATAGAAAAAACACATTTCATAAGGGTAAAAACAAGATAAAAGTAAATTTGGAAACATTAAGCAAGATAAAAGTAAAATTTGGATTTTATTGAACAAACCAGAAGTGTGTTACATGCTTCCTCGACATCATCTTTTTTACCACTGATCACAATAACATCAAGTTTACTGTCATCGCCTTCTGATGCAGCTGCTTCACTATTTACTGGACGTCTTTCAGGGAACTTAATCTGAACACCTAATTTAGAAGAAAGTTCTTGGACATTTTTTCCTTTATTGCCCAAAACAGCTCTATGATGAACATGTGAAATAATGCATTCCTTTTCAACCATTGATTCCAAATCATTGACTATTTCTAAAAGTCTTTGCTTGGCACCTTCAACACATTCCTTTGCCCCTAAAATAAGTTGTCATTAAGTAAATAGTTATAATTTATAACAATTTGTGGTTATTGTTATTAATAAAAAAGTAATTATTGTATAAATTATTTTAAATTACACACATAACAATAATAACATTTTTAAATATAAAGATTAAACACCTTTTAAAGAAACCTTATTTGAATCTGGAACTTTTGGTAGGCTTACTGTAACACCTCCATATTCATCAGCTATATCACGAAGAATTTGTGCTCGTCGTGCTACCAATTCACGATGATGTTTAGGGTCAATCAATACTTCACTTTCTACAATATTGTTCTAAACAAAATTATTTGGTGTAAACTATTTTAATTAAAGATATAAAGAATAAAAAAGAGAACAAGAATAAAAAAGAAAAAAAGAAACTTACTAAATCTTTGATTTTGTTTAAGAGGTCGGCTTTGGCTTCTTCTACACTTTCTTTTGTTCCAATAATAGTGATGAGTTCTTTGTTTTCATCATTTTTCGTAGGAAAAATAATTCGAGCACCAGTTTTTTCGCGGACTTTTCGTATATTCACACCTCCCTTACCAATCAAAAACCTGTGATGTTCAGCTTTTGCAGTAACTTCAGCTGTGTAATTATTTTCTTGCCGTTCTTCTGCCAGTTTCTTTAACTGAATCTAAAAAAAAAACTTCACTTATTCTAAATATTTTCATTAAAAATATTTTAAAATTTTTCTTAAAAAAATACTTTTTACAATTATTTCAAACTTTTAGACATAAATAAAATAACAAAATACCTCTGCTTTTTCCACATCTTCTTTTGCTCCACGAATAACAATAATATCACTTTTTGCATCTTCTGAAGGGAAGCGAATGTTAACATCTCCACATTCATTCATGATACTTTGAATAAGTTTACCTCCAGGTCCTATCATAGCCATATGAAGTTTTTGCGGAACTTTAACTTCAACAGACACCACACTTGCCTAAATAAAAATATACTTCAAAAAAAATTAAAACCAAAATTTTAAATATCATATTAAAAACATTATTTTTATCATCATCATCATTACTACAACATTCAAAATTTTAAAAAAATAAAAGATAATTAAATCATGGCAAGTTAAGCAACGATTTCTAAACCAATTAAAATCGAATCAGATTTGTGTCTCAAGTAGTTAAGGAATATATTTTAAATAAAAATTCCAACATTCCAAAAATCATTATCTCTTTAATCTTTTTTAATTAGGCTTGTAGGTTTTAACATTATGGGTTTTAGTTGTTGCCTAAGACATGCAACTACCTCCTCTAAAATTTAAAATCTTTTAAAACTTTACAAATAGTTTAGACCTGGAAAAATAGTAAGCAACATACTCTTTTTTACCTTAGCGTTCTTGTGTGTGAATGTGTGTGCAGTCAAACTGCTATGGAGAGGTAGACACAACAGTAAAAAGTCATAGATTGGGAAAGGTGATTCTTTGAAAGTAGCATGTATATATATATATATATATATATATATATATATATATATATATATATATACACACACACACACACACACACACACACACACACACACACACACACACACACACACACACACACACATAAATACCCACATGCACTTATAAACACAAAGAAATACTCACAAGCTCATTTTGTATAGCTAAAATCATCTTTTTAGCTTTTTCTGCTTGCTCTTTGTACCCAGTTACTATTATAACATCACTGTTACTCGTTACAGGTGGAATTTCTATTGTCGTGTTTGTCTCTTCTTTTATTTTCTTTATGTTAGCACCATTGCGACCAATTATGTTACCATGAAACTTCTTAATGATTGGCACCTCACACCGATAATTAGAAGCAACAACATCTTGCACTAATTTTTTCATATAGTTATAACACTGATCAACTTCTTCTTTAGGTCCACGAAGTGTTACAATATCACTCTTTTTTCCAGCTTCTGGAAATGATATTTGAACATCTGCAAACTTTTCACGTATTACTCTCACATTTTCACCTTTTTGACCAATTATATTTTTGTGAAACCGTTGTTCAATTATAATGTCTTTAGATTTTTCATTATCCTACAATTGCAAAACATAAAAAAAGTAATTAATAATATTTGATTATTTTTTTAAAAATTTAATAAATTCATTAAAAATAAAATTTCATTCTTCAAGCAGTATAAATAACTGCTACAGTTCTGACCCCTAATAAAAAGCAACATATGATTTTTATTTGTTTTTTAGTTAAGCTTATTTTTGTATTTTATATTTTTATTAGTTTAAACTAGTTAACAACAAGTAGGAACACAATACTAAATTTACCATCAAGTAGGAACACAATACTAAATTTACCATCAAGTAGGAACACAATATGTAATAGTTTTATACAATCTGATAACTTTATATTAAAATATATAACACAATAATCTTACGTAATATTAATCTTATATTAGTATATTCTATAATATGCAATATAATTATCTTACCAGAATACTGTGTTATATATAATTCATATACTATAAAATCATACTTAATAAGAAATTAAATGCAACAAAATTAATAAGAAATTAAATGCAACAAAATATAACTAAAAAATTAGCTAATTATGCATCAGAAATATGATTTAGCAATAAGCTAATGCAACAATGCAATAAGCTTATGCAACAAAATAGCAATAAGCTTATGCAACAAAAATATATAATTAAACAATTAGCTAATTATATAACAAAAATTTAAAATTAGCTATAAAAAGTAATAACCATTTTTGCAGCCATTTCAAGAATTTCCTCTTTTGCTGCAGCCACACCCTGTGGACTACCTTCTATGCGTATAATGTTAGATTTTTTGGTATCCAAAGGAATATTGATAGAAGTTCCAGTTTCATTTTTGATCTTAGTTATATTAGCACCATTTTTACCAATAATATGACGATGCCATTTTTGATCTACTTGGATGTCAGCAAATGACATTGTATTTTTCTTAAAATAATTACAAATATTATTATAAGAAAGTAAATTACAAAATACAAGATACAAATTAAATAAAATTCTACCAAACCATGCTCTACAGCTTAGTTGAAATCTAGGAATAATCTTATATTACTATTTTTTTTAATGATGAAAGTGAGATTACTAGGTTTGATCTTATTCTTAATTAGGGTGGAGCTTATTTTTAAACTTTTGAAATATGATCTTCTTACCCTCTAATTTTGTTCCTATATATGAAAAAATAATTCAGGCAAAATATGAGAACAATTAAACAATATTTAGGGGTAGCTCAATGATGATAAAGTTTCGGATACTCGACAGCTGCGGTTTGGCTACACTTGATGTTTACATAATATTATTACTTATACCAGAATAATTCTCATGTTAAATTAAGAGTTTAATTTTAACTACAAAGCTAAATTGCACTGTCCTAAATCATCATATACTCCACAATTATGGTCTATATATCATATTTGATCATTGACCAACCAATGCAATCATGGCATGATTGCATTGGTTGGTCAATGATCAAATATGATATATAGACCATAATTGTGGAGTATACGATGATTTAGGACAGTGGAAATAACCCAGATTCAATTTTTTGCTGACTGTGTAACTTTTACATAAATCAAAACATAACCACAGACAGACAGGATCACTAGCTAGGCAGACTTGTTTACTGCAATGCTAAGTTGCTGACTAAGCAACACTGTTAAAGCTGTATGCTTTTTTTGTTTACTAAATAGAGGCATTGTTTTAGTTATTAAAATATAAATGGCAATTTAAGTTGAAATATTGTTTAAATAAATTTTCTTGATTTTCAAATTTAAAGAAGATTTCTATAATTTTGGTGCTGACTTGCTTCTCTCCAGTACCTGATTCTCATCAATTGGTAAATTAAAAGATTGATATATTAAAATACCTTAACTCTTTGTGTCTTGTGAGTGTAAAATTGTAAATATATTAATAATTAATTAATTCTATATTATAATATGGACGTTAAACTGATAATGCTGATGAATGTGATGATGATGATGATGATGATAATGAGATAAATAAATGAACATAAATTATATGTAATATACAATATATTTTTAAAAATAATTAAATAAACCATACAATACATGTTAAAATTTCTGACTTCAAATGGTCAAATTTTTCCAATGCATTTTTTATATTTATTTCAGATAAATATTCAATTCTGAATTATTGAAAATGTCATCTCGGGCAAAGTTAACCAGATCTCAAACTGAGTTGTATCTACTTGGCGAAACTATTACTAAATTAACAGGCAGCAAGCTGCCATCATTATGTATGGCGCTTGGATTTTTCTTGTATCACCATCTCGAATTAAAGGAGACTATAAGACAATCATCGGCTGTTACCATCACGGAAATAACAAAGTTTTGGCAAAAAGCTAGAATCCCGATGAGAGATCATCAGAACTTCCAAACGAAGCTTGAACAGATATTTGAAGAATGGCGTCTTCTTAAGAAGAACAAAGCGCGAAAAAACAACAACTCAACTTGGGAGAGAGTTGGCTTTTGTTTTAAGACTTGACGATCTCTTTGATGTCGCTCATGCCGATGCCCTGACCAATACATCAGTTTTACAAGAAGACAAGGATTTCTTAGTAGCCCCGCGAGAAAAGGGAAGAAGGGGGTTAATGGCTAGAGTAGATGAAACACTTGCTGCTAAGGAAAAAAGGGCTTCCAAAAGAAGGGACAAATGTTTGCCAGGCAGCAGCGAATGGAGCAAATGAACCAGCTAGCGTTTCTACAGCTGAACTGAAATCATCTAGTTCTGAATCTGAAAACAGTACAGCAGAGGATGTTGAAGAGACTGAAACTAGTGACAATGCAGATGAGGGAGCTGTTGAAGGCACCACTTTTCAGACACCTAAAAGAAAGAGGGGACGAAAAACTGTTGTTACTCCAGAACTCCCTGCAGCTCTAGATCAAACAAAAATGTCAGACCGCAAGGCTGTTTTTGTTATAGCAGAAACTGCCAAAAGCTTAGGACAGAATATCAATGAATTTGCTCTTAACAGAGACTCAATTCGCCGACACAGATTGGAACACAGAGTCCAGAGATCTGCAAATATAAAAGCCGAGTTTCGGGATAACGTTCCTCTTGTTGTTCACTAGGACGGCAAACTGATTCCTGATCTACTTGGAAAAGAGAAAGTTGATGGCCTGCCCGTATTGGTTTCAGGAAAAGGAGTCTCTCAGCTACTCACAGTTGCCAAGCTTCCTTCTGGAACAAGCGAGGCACAGGCTGCTGCCGTCTTTAGAGCCATTGAAAACTGGGGCATAGCCAACAGCATCCGTGCAATGTGTTTTGACATGACCAGCTCAAATACTGGTCGGCTTGCTGGTGCCTGTGTCCTCCTAGAACAGAAACTTGAAAAAGAGCTCTTATCACTGGCTTGTAGGCATCACATTATGGAACTGATAATTGGTGCAGTGTTCCAAGTGTGTATGGGAGCAACATCTTGTCCAGAAGTTCCACTATTCAAACGTTTCCAGCAATACTGGGGTTTCATAGACACGGCTAATTATGAGCCAGGGATTGCAACTGATGATGTCGAACGTCTTGTGGCTGACATAAAGCAAGACACTATCGATTATGCCAACAAGCATCTTGAACAGTCGAGGGATGATTATAAAGAATTCTTGGAAATTGTGATTATTTTTCTTGGTGCTGCTCCTGCCAGAGGTGTGCGATTCATGTCACCTGGAGCAATGCACCATGCCCGCTGGATGTCTAAAGTCATATACAGTCTTAAGATTAAGGCTCAATTTAAATTGACTCCTGCTGAAGTGAGAGTATTACGTGACGTGTGTGTATTCACAGTACGTGTCTACCTGAAAGCCTGAATATCTGCACCTCAAGCATCAGGTGCTCCTTATAATGATCTGCTGCTGCTGAAGTCACTGATTGAATATTCATCAATCCATTCAGCGATCTCGAAGTCAACATCACGCAAGTTTTCCAATCACTTGTGGTATTTGTCACAGGAACTTGTTAGCTTGGCTTTCTTTGACAGTCGGGTCAGTTCATCAACCAAGAGACTGATGGTGAGTGCAATGCAAAATGAAGAAGACCAAGATCAGGATCATTCAAAGCGTATCACTGTTGATCTTAATTCATTCGGGAACAAGAACTTAAAAGATTTTGTCACAGCAAAGTCAATGAATCTGCTCCAAATGATGGAAATGCCATATGGATTTTTAACAGTTGATCCGGACTTGTGGGAAGACAGAGACGACTAAAAGTTGGCTGCAGAAACAGTCAAGTCTTTAAAAGTTGTAAATGACCACGCTAAACGTTGAGTGGCCCTCATTCAAGAATACAGTGGATTTTTAACACGCGATGAAACGCAGATGCAATTCCTGCTGCAAGTCGTAGAAGACCATTGCAGAATGTACCCTGATAGCAGAAACAAACTCTGTCTGGGCTGCCGAAACCATGAATTTAAAACAATTATTCCTGAGTTTGCTCTGGACATTGTCAGGCTGATACCCTAAACTGTAAAAACTGAGCTTAGAACTCATATTTAATGTGTTTAAAAATGTTAATTGTGTTGTTTAAAATATATAGATTAGACTAGTTTCTCGTATAATTTTTGTAATATTGGAGGCACTTGAGCCCTACCCCTAAAAACAATTATTTTTTAGCCAAACTTTTTATGCAGTGTTTCTATGTTATATGGAACAGATTTGGGGGGTAAGACTTTAAAAAATACAAATTTTATTTTTTATTTATTTTTTAAGCTCTACCCTATTCTTAATGTTCTAGATTCAGTATTATTATACCTTTTTTTTTTTAGTTAACAAATTTTTTTTCATTCTGGATTCACTATTACCTATATATTTTTTTAATTATACATTTGTTTTTGTGGACAAGATTTTTATCAAGTTAGTGCATGTCAAAATTTCCAAAAATAAGGTATATATATATATAAAAAAGGGTTTTGATAGTATTTCACACTTTGATGACATCCTACTTTAACTAACAAATTATAGTATTCTATACTAATTAAAATATTGATAACATTTACCAGTTCATTGAGAGACAATTCAAGTAAATTTTCAGCAGCATTAACTTCATTTGGAGGTCCTTCAATAAATATTTTATCTTTATCTTCCACAAACTCAATATGAATCTAAGCAGAAATTAAAAAAAAAAAATTCTGTTAGTAAATGTATATTTTTTTGAATGATAAAAAACATTTCTGTGAAAAAGATTTTTAACTAATAAAGATTTATGTGAGTTATAAATTAAAATATTGAGCCTTAAATATCAACAAAAAATGATAAACACAACACACTTTGTTGTCCAAATCCTGTGTAATTTTCTTTATATTTTCTCCTTTTCGCCCAATAATAAAACGATGAAGCCATTTTGGTGCGTGCAATTCTGCTGTAATACAACTGTTAGCCTAAAAATCACACATTAAAAAACTGTTATAAAATTTTAAATATAAAATCTTAGTATGACCATAAGATAAATACTACAATTATAATTTCTTTATTTAAACATTTTTTTTTTTTTGGTTTACCTAGTAAGTTTTTTTGTCAGAAATTATCTGAACTAAATTTTTATTTATAAATAGTTTGTTTATTTTATATTTAATCACAATGCATGTTAAAATAAATATTAAAATTATTAGGTACTTACTCACTAAAACTATTAGGTACTTACTCACAATTAAAATAGGGTTTTTAATCAGAGCCTTCCTTTTCAAAGGCAAGTTACATTTTTCATAACAAAGAAGCCTGAACTGCTCCAAACTTTTAAAAAATAGATAGCATTCATATAATTTTAGCTTTTATTGAACAACAAAAGAGCCATAAAACAACTACAATGTGTCCAGTAGTATGCTACCATGGTAATAAGATTGTTGATATATACTTTAAAATAGATGATTAAAATAAAAGATGTGAATTTATACTTTAAAAAATGCATTGAAATATTAAATGTGAAGATCAAATAAATTTAACCTAAAAAAATTTTTTTGGGACTTTTAAAAATGATAAGTCATCATAAAAAAATTATTTTCCTAATGTCATGAATGTTTTTTTTTCAAGTCCACCTTCATTTATTATATTATTCTAAAATAAATAATAAAAAACATTATAAAACCTGTATATATAATTAAAAAATGCTTTATTTTTTATATTAAAGTAATTTATAAAAAACTGAAAGTTTTTCTATACTCATGTGTTTGCAAACTTTATGGCTTAAATATTCTATAAACCTGGCTCAAGGAAACTGACACAATATCACATAACCCGTCCAACTTTAGTGTCTGTGGCCAAAAATATTACACAAAACAACTTAAGGTTTTATAAGCAGCTTTAAATTTAAAATAACTTTAATGTATTTAAAAACATCTTTTAAGAAAATAAAAAGGCAATCATATACTTTTAAATGTTGCAATCATATTTTTAACATAATTTTATGAAAAAAACAAATTTAACATAAGTTAAATTTGTTTTTTTCATAAATAAAAAAAACACTGATTTTCCACTAAATTTAGCTGGAATGGGCTGTACCGCTGCCCAAATTTTTTTCCTAGAATAGGCCCTCATATATTGTGTTAATTTACTTTTTTTTAAGTTTTATTTATTTTGATTTCAAAACACACAAAAAATTTTATTATTGATATTTATTATATTACTTTACCATTAATTATCTGAAATTAAAGTTTTAAAACCTTTTCATACACCATTGTCAGTGCATTTCCAAGCTTATCACCATCACCACGAAGAATGATAGTCTCATTGTCGCTGTCAGAAGAAGGAACTTCCACAGAAACTCCAGTAGCACGCAAAATATCTTGAATTCCTGATCCTTTTGGTCCAATAACATAGCGATGTTGATTTTTCTTAACCTGAAGACAAAGTTTTAATTATAGAATCCTATTATATTGTTTATTTATGTAAATTACAGGATTTAGCTAACATGGCTTATTCAAGGTTCATATTTTTGTAAACTAATTAACATTGACAATTTTTTGACATTTATTATTCATATTTATTATGTTAGTTGCATAAAAATGATAAATTTTAAGTAAAAAAATATGTCATCAGTAAAAAGTGTTGAAAAGTTTCAAAATGTAAAATAAAAAGCAGTTATATTGTTGACAATTGTGATATAAAAAATCCATATAACTTGTAATTAAAATTTTTCATTATTAATTGACTAAAACTAAAACCCCTAAAAAATCTATGTGTAAAAACAGATTTAATAATGCATTCCAACAGCAAAGTAACATTTTACCGTTAACTCATTGAAGATATATATATATATATATACACACACACACACACACACACAAACACACACACACACACTTCCTATTTAAATTATTAGCTTACCTTATCAATTTTTTAGAAATTTGACAGCTTAATGTTTTAGGTGTCATTTTTATTGGATTGAAATATTGTTACTAGTTGATTTATTTCATTATTTATGTTTAACACTTTTAAATTTTTAGAAATATAAAACTATTTTAAGGGTGGCAACAATTTCAAGAGGACAAGTAGCATCTGCTCAATTCACAAAATTCATATGTTTTACCCATGCTATTTTGATATAATTGCTTTAAATGTAGTAATATTTTTTTATTAACCATTGTGATTTAATTACATTAGGTTTGTATTGAAAAATATTACAATAACTGTTTAAAAATTGTTCTAAAGTATAATATACTTTAAAACAATTTTTAAACAGTTATTTTAATTTTTTTTTCTATTCATTTTTTTATAGAAAGAAATTTTTATCTTTTTTAAAATAAGTTATGGTAAAAAAAAAGGTTATAGTTCTTAACTGCAAAATAAAAAAAAAAAAAAAAAAAAAAAAAAAAAAAAAAAAGAGAGGTTAGTTTTTAAAATTCTAAAAAAGCAATTATTAATTATCTCTTGACTAATAACTTTAGTAACAAACAATATTGATGGAATATTGTTTACAGTATAAAAATTATATCAACAATATTAGCGCAATATTGTTTACAGTATAAAATTATATAAACAATATTGTGCCAATATTGTTTGCTACTCGAGAAGCGTTAATCATTAAGTGAAGTATCAAGAAAATATGATATAACAAAATACATTGTAAAGCGAATCTGTTTTGAGCCAGAACTCTAACCACTGCTCTAGAGCTAGCATTGAACCACGGGCCTCTTGGTTCTAAGCCACAACTTTAACCAGTGTGCCATGACTGTTATTTTTATTATTCAAAGTTTTATTATGATTGAATAAAAATAATTTTTTATATCATATGTATTTTTCAAGAATAATAAATTTTGATAAATGATAAAAATATGCTTATAGTTCAATAAACTTTGCTTTTTATTAAAGTTAGATAACTTGCATGTCTTTAACATGATTATAGAGAAAGAACGCTTCATAAGCAAGAAGTTCTGAGTTTGACCTTGTTCATCAATCTTTGCCATGACTGCGCATACAGTATGCTTTTTTGAAAACTTGGCTACCATTTTTTGCATATTTTGAAAAATTGCACATTAAAAAATGCACTGAAAAAACCAAACTAATTTAAAGAGTTTTAAAAATTAAAAATAAACAAACCATAATCTGAAATGATAAGAAACTCAACGAATGGTAAAATAAATAAAGAATAAACCAGAGAAAATAAAAGCATAAAAACAATATAATCAGGGCTCGAATTAACACGAAAAAATCTAATCGCAAAAAAAAATTTGTTTACCCCCCTCCCCTTATACCTTGCGCCACTTTGCAGTAATAGGGGGGGGGGGGGGGGGAAAGAGAGAGAGAGAGAGGGAAGTTGCGTTAGTATATAATTGTAAGTTTTGGAATAATGTAAAACAAATTTGTGACGCTATTTTGTTTTGATTTATACAGTTTATAAAATAAAACGTGTTTAAAATAAAACAAAGCAAATAAATAAAATTGAGCTAGTTAATAAACTAAAACAAAACTTCATATTTGTGCCTATAGACCTATAGGAGGAGTTTATAATCTATAGACCAAACGAGTAAGATCAAAGCAAAAAAACATTAGATACCACGTCTTTTATAAATTATTGTATCCTGATAGAGCGTACTATTAAAAATTTAAGTTTAATTAAGTCTTTCATTCAAAAGGTTTTTTAACTGATGTTTTCATTCAATTTTTTTTTATTTTAATTGTTTTTTTAAAAAAAGTAAAACAAAAATTTTGTTTAATAAATCGAATTATATTAAGTATAAGAATATGCTTAAATTATTTTTTTAGAAAAAATTTTTTTCGAACAGAAGTAAAAAATTTATTAAATTTAATTTAAAATTTTTAAAATTTTTATTTTAACTTGCAATTTGCAATCACTGATTTGATTATGCTTTGAATTTGCAATCACTGCAATAGAAAGTTTCTGCTTTTAAAACTATTTTCAAGAAAAAATATATAATTCAAAACGTTAACAAAATTTACGATTTACAAAAAAAAACTTTAATCTTCATTCTCCCTTGTTTCATCAAACTTTTTTTCAGTTTTTTAATTTTTTTTTCAATTTCAAATTTTAATCACAAAGTCTAGATTGTTATAAAGTTGCTATAAATAAAATGAAAATATACAAAAATGGTGTCGCGTTTTTCATATTCTATTCTACAATTTTTGTTAAAATAATTATAAGTTAAAAGCTTATATTATGTTTCAACAACATGTAAGATCTAAATTGAAACATGTCTATGGCTAACTTTTGCGAGTATATTAAATAAATTAATATAATTGTTAAATTAATACTTGAGTAACTGTAAGTTACTATCTTAACTTAACTGGTTGTTTTGATTTAGGTTATAATTTAATTTACTGTGATGTACTCTATCCAACTAAATATAACTTCAATAGTTTCAAGGTCGTTAAAAGCGAAAAACGTCAAAGCAAAAAAGTTGCTGGTTTCTACTTGTACAATTTTACTAATAGAAATTTTATTTAATAAAAACGAATTAATATATATTTTATTATACTTAAAGTAGTAAAAATAATTATATAAAATTGTTTAAAATATAATAATTTAATTCATTATTAATAAGTTAATTTGGAGCAACGTTTTTTTTAAAAAAAAAAGATAAAAATGCTGTTTTGTTAAAAAAAATAGAATGAAGAAAAAATTCTTTTTCTTTTCAATTTGCTACTACAGAGATTTAAAGTAATTTAAATTAAAAAGTGCTTTACGTTAAATAAAAATCTCCTCGCGAAAGAGCAAATGACCATGCTTCTATTCAAAAGACAAACTTTGCGTGATGTACTTTACTATGAAAACATTAGTTTTTAAGAATTGCCAAAAAAAAAAGCCTAATTAGAAAAAAAGTAAATAAACAACTAAAAAAGTAAACCAATCGCAAAAATATATGTTTTAAGAAAAAAACTAATCGCGAAAGTATAAAAAGCTATCGCGATTCACGATACGCTTAATTCAAGCCCTGTATATATTTTAATTTAGAAGCATCTCAATTAATAGTTTAAACCTGATTAACTTAATTTAAAGTTTCAATACTTTAAAGTTAATAATTTTTCTAACATCACTATATTAGTGTACCGCTTAGGTTGGTCTATTCTAAAATTTTAAAAATTTTATTTCACCCCTTAACCCCCCTTCCCCAAAAGCCATAAGGGTCACTAGAGTCGAGGAGGCTACTTTAGTTGTGGTTATAGCCCTCTCTTAACTCTATAATACAAAAACACCAAACTTGACAAATAAGGCTGCTGCAAGGTGAAATAAGCTGAACGCAGTACTACCAGAGACATGATGGGGATTGAACTTGGAACTTCCTGCTTATGAGACAAGCCTTCTACTACTTCTACTACTACTCTACACAACTGCCACATAATATTTGTGAGGCGCAACTGTTAGTTGGGCGTTTGATGAAGGTTTAAATCCCTTATTGTTTTATTTGCTTAGCAGACATCAATAAATAATATTTCTTTAATTGAATGTCTTCTTTTTTTTAGTTCTTAGCCCTCAATAAATTAAGAATCTAAAGTCTAATATCACAAAAATGCTGTATAAAATTTATTTCTGGCACCCTGATTAGAAATATAAATATATATATAAGCTTTGGCAGGAATGGCAGGCTATAGCCCAAGCATAAACCTGTGTTAAGTATAAATTCTTGTTAAAAATGTTAAATATGTTGATCATGTTTAAAAATGTTTCTCTTTTTAATTATAAAATTAGAAAATATAATTTAACATGCGTTGAAAAAAATTTACTTGACTATTATCTAATACTATGTAAAAAATAAAAAAACACAAAATCAAACAGTTTTTATAAACAGCAACAACTATTTCTTATTATCATTATATTAAGTTATAATTTTAATAATCAGTATGTTAAAAAGCAGGTGGAATATATATGCATGTGTTGCTAAAGAATTCGACATGTTATGTCAGGTTTTTGCTGGTGATTTAAAAACTTAAATTATGAGAATGGTTAGATAATTAAAAAAATATATTACGATAAATTTAAAAAATATATACACGCATTTTGTTTAATTTTGCATTGATTGATAAAATAGTTTGTTAAACTTTATAGTTTGTCTATAATTAGTATAAATATCTATAACTGTTTCAAAATGAATTGAACAAACAAAACTATTGATTTGAATATATATAAAATGAAGATAATAAAAAACCCAACATACAATCCAATTAAGTTCACTCTAGAGTAAAGAAACAAATCAGAACAAAAACACAAAACAAAAAATACACACAAAGTAAAATGCATACAAATGGGTCTAAGCAACAACAAAAAAAAAGCAATCAATTGTACTACCAAAGTACAATAAATCATCTTTATAAAAATATGATACATTATACAACTGTTTTTATTTCATTGTTGTATATATTTAAATTATAACATTTTAAAACTATTATTAATTTAATATAGAAATTATCAAGAGAAATATAAGAATAATACAAAAAATTTACAAAAATTTTTTTTTGGATGAATTAAAGAAATCTTTTTTAATGCAAGCTGTTTTTCTGCCTTTTTATAGTTAAAAAAACAAATCTATATTATATACACGCAATATATATTATATAAACCAGGCCTTGCAATAAAGCGTCGGGCGATGTGAATTTTACGTCGCCCAAGAGCGATTTTGCGTGTAGCTAGGGCTATTTACGTCGAGCAAAAAAATTTTTGTTTGAGTATATTTAAAGATATTTTTGAGCGGAATTTTAATGAAGTAGTTTACGATTATTTTAACATTTAATAAAGTATTTTAAAAACCGCACGCAGTTGATATAAAAGTTTGAATTACAAAAAAATTAAATATGCTCATTATTTACAAGTAAAAAAAGTTCAGATTAAAAAAAAAGTTTAAATCTTTTTAAGCTAACATTTTATTAAATTATTCAGCAATAGCAAAGTTGTCAATAAAACTGAACAAAAATACTTTCTTTTAGTTTTAGATTTATAACTTAAATAATGATTTTACGGGGGTTTGTTATGTTTTAAAATTATTCCACAGATTTAAAAATATTGATTAACTGTTTGATGTATCTAAAGTATTTAAGAGTAATTTGGAGAAAACATTTTAAAAAATGGTAAGCGCAAATAAAAATATTTTATTTGCGCAAAGATTTTTATTCTAACATTTTATTTCATTTTATTTTACTAGAAATAAAATTCCTTGTAAACATTAAAAATCTATTCAAAACATTCGTTAAAGTTTTTTAGTAATACGAGTGATTGTGCTTATTAACCGCTTTATGAAAATAAATAAAAATAAATAAATAAAAAAATATTATATAAAATCGCTGGTAAGAATATTAGCTATTGCACAGTTTTTAATCGTACAATATTAAAATTTCCAGTTTATTACTCGCTGACTTTTTAAAAAGAAAAAATAATTATTTGAAAAACTTTAAATTATATATTTGAGAAGGAAAAAAATCAAATATCAGCATTTATAATCTTTTTTAAATGTTTAGTTATAATGTTTTATATTCGTTTAGAATAGACAAAACGTGACCAACGTCGAGAAAATAAACAAATGTTTTTACATTTTAAAAAACGAAACATTCCAAAACATTTTTAAATAATAACACTTCTACATTAAAGATTTAAAGTAGTTTTGCGGTAATTAAGTAAATTAATGCAGTTAATGTCGCTAAATATGAAAAGTAAATAAAAAGAATTTAATGACGTCAAAAATCACATCGTGCTTATGCGTCGCGCAGTTTTTATTCATCACAAGGCCTGATACATGCAATATATATTATACACACACATGCAATATATACTATATACACACAGACATACGCACTATGATTATAAAGCTCTAATAAACTCACCTCAATAGCAACTGTTTTACTAAGTTTTTCTCTTCGTTTGTAAATATCCATTATTAACTTGACAGCTTTTTGAACAGATTCCTTATCTCCCGCAACAGTAATTTCATCTTTATTAACTGAAGGGGGTGGAATGTTAATTCGAGCACCAGTACTCAATGCTATCTCTTTCATTTTTTCATTATCTGGGCCTTGGATAAATGGGTGATAAATCTTGGGAACAGTTAGACGTTCAAATGCAAGTTTAGCCTGGTTATAATAAAAACAACTTTGTAAATTTTATTTCACTGATTTATAATTAAAACTTTCAACAAACAAAAACTTAATATGCTTACTTGCTCATCTGATATTAGTTGTATTTCATGTTTGGCTCGATCAATACCTTCTTTTGTACCAACAATCCTGATTATTTTAGAGTCTCGAGGAATAGTTATTTTAGTTTGTGTCATTAACTCAAGTTCTTGAAGCTTTTTGCCACCTTTTCCAAGAACAAAACCATGATGTTCCTTAGGTATTTCAATCTCAATACTTGCTTGAGTTTGTAGTCCTGCTATAATAAATCTTTTTGCTTGTGCAGTAGCATCTCTCTTACCTGTTACCATTACTGTCAGGCATTGATCCTTATTTACACTAACTTCAATTGTTGTACCAGTTCTCTGCATTATATCACGAATTAACTCATTTTGTCGATCAGCATCCCCAACGATTGGAGAGGTACTTTTGAACTTGCGTTCTTCATATGGTATTTTAAACACCTTTATATATATATATATATATATATATATATATATATATATATATATATATATATATATATATATATATATATATATATATATATATATATATATATATTCCATTATTATTTTAAAATATCGAAATTTAAAACAAATATAAATTTATTAATATACTAAATTAATTTATTCGTAATTGAAATATCTTTTATAAACATTTTTAAATTTGTCATGCGGATAAAAATTCTTATTCTTGGGGTCAAAGTAGCACCATAAAACATGCTACCATTATTGATAAGGAATATTAGCAAAATTGAGCAAAACTCATCATCAACGCATTTTGCTTAGTATTTATATTACTTTAAAATTGATGTTAACAGTGTTAACAATGAAAACATTAAACGAAACAAATTAAAAACCTGTTTTGTCTAATGTTTTCCCCAATCCTAAATGGTTGCACATTTTGTAACGCTACTGTTGACCCACAGATATATGTAATTAAATATTTATGTCTATTATCTAAAAACATAAATTTAACGATAAAAAAAGTACCTGTGTTGCTGTTGACGATAATATAGGTCTAAAAGTTTCAGCAGCTGGCTTTGGCTTGGTAGTATTTTTTGAAACCCATGCTGTTTGTGTAGCTCCCGCATTAGATTTAGGAGCTGCACTTAAGGGTGGAAAAGCATCAGCATATGTTGGAGGACTTGAGCCAAGTTTTTGTTGTTGAGACACAGTTTGGTCATTATCTTTGCTCATATCCATTGTATCATCTGGTGAGTATGTACCGTTCATATAACCATTTGTTGCAGAAAGGTTTGATATTGAACCATTCAATAATAATGATTCCATATCCATAAATCTTGTCCTATTCAGTCAAGTCTAGCAGCTCCACTAAATATTTAATACACTCATGATTATTCCTTTTTTCAATATGCCTTTGAGATATAAAAAAATATTTAAAAAATGAAACTTAAAGATCTTTTAACTTCTTAAGAAGAATTTAAAGAAGATTAAGCAAATTTACATTTACTATTTCTTTCTTGCTTAAACTTGTACTAATACATTTGTATAAAAATTTTAAAAGATTTAAAAAACGTGTGGGACTATATCTTGCGTAATAAAATTTTAAGCTTCTCAATGGATATAAAATATAGATTTAAAATGCAAGTTTCAATAATTTTAATATGTAACTTTTCTTTTTAAATGTAAGATAAAAGTTGTGGGATTTTTGTAAACACATACACTATCATGTTTTAAACAATAGGTACTTTTAGAAATATAGATCTCAGTTATCTTGTTTAACATATAACAGGATTTCAGAGATCATTACATTACAAAATGAAAAACCAATGAAACCATGAAAATATGTTCTTCTTTTATTCGCAATCAATTTCATATAAGTCATATTGTAAGTATACTGCTTTTGTTTGTGTTATTATATTCTTAATGATCTTTTTAACTAGTGGTAGTCTAAAAACCTTAAAGTCAAAAATGTTTTCAGAAAACAAAACATTTTGAGATAGAAATTTGAATAATTAATGATATTCAGTGAAAACAATTGTTTTTTAAGTTCCATTGAAAATTGTAAATAAAAATTACTGAATGAATAAACTTGTAGCAAAAGGTTGTAGCAACTTAAAATCAAATTTTGAAGACTTTTAAAATAAGATTAAACAAAAAGTATGTTAATTAGTCTGAGGTTATTTTTAAGAGTTTATTAATTATTCTTAAAAAGGTAAATATGATAATAGTATAAACGTTTCTTTACCTGTTCAATAAACAGAGGAAACTGCTGCCGTTAACGGTGATCCGGGTTATATAATAACACTTGTTGCCTCAGCTTGGCTGACAAATTAGTTCTATCCAGAACTATATGCGTAAATAAATTTTTATAAAACTTTTCAATTAGTGGTTTTAACCCTATCCATCACTTTTACTTACAAAATCTAATATTTCTATTGTTTTCCATCCAATTAAAAACGTTTATTTTTTTCTCGTGTTATTTTTGTCTTTTCAGCTAAGCAAATATCTGGTTGGGCACATACGTTTACCGATGTGTCCACGCAGACAAGAGTTCTCCTCCACACAGTTTATTATAATTTATTTAACGGTTGTTTGAACTGTAGTTTTAATAACTTTTTTTGCATGTTTTTAAAAACTTTAAATTTTTTTAGTTTTTTTGTATATTATGTTTAAAATTTATTATAAAAACAGATTTTTTTATTTTTATTTAATAATAAAGTAAGATATAGTTTTTTAATATTTTGAAATCAACCCCCTTGTCTAATGTTTGTTTATTTTTTGTTTACTTTTAACTGTCTTCAAATAAGTCGGTAGTCTGATATAGAATAAGTTAAATTCTGTAAATTTCGCGACATTTTTACTTAAATTTCAAAATGTTATTAAAGACAAAAAAAATGTTTTAATGCAACTATTGATGTTTGGATACCTTTTAATATTAAGAAAAACAAATTTTCATAAAAAAAAGAAAAACGAATTTTTTATTGTTAAAGATCAATTTTTTATTTGTTAAAGAAGCATTAAAAAACAGGTAAAAATGGATTTTTTTATCGTGACCTTCGCCTTTTGAAGTTAAATTTAAAAAAAAAGTACAACATGATGTTTTCAACTTTATTGTACTCTGTAAACTAATCCAAAGAAATATAAAAATATCGAGCTGCACAAAATTGCACGATTTTATTTGTATCTGATTGTTGATTAAAAGAATAAATTTTTTTTTAATGAATCAGGTCTGCCGCTTTTAGATATTGGGAAAACTCTAAATTTAGGTACGTTCATACTTTTGTCAAATAAGAATACTTTAAAATAATTTTGGTGATTGGAGTCTTGGAATACAACTATCTCAAAATATGAGAGCACCTACTCGCAGTACGAGAATAACGAGTTAATAAAATATTCCTTTTTTATTATCTTTGACTAAGTATATATTCATGGAAAGGTTTTTAATTTTAGTAAATAAATTTTGATAATATAGTGAAAGTTATAAACATTCAAACTAAATTTTTAAATGGTTGTAAAAATTTAATGGTTTGATATTTACAACCCCATCTTTATGGGGAAATTTTACATGGTCATCACTTTTAAAAGTAAAAAGATTATTAAACTAATCTTATTACTTTTAAACTTAAAACTTGTAGACAAATATAAAGATAGATTTTTGTTGCTATATCTACATTTTCTGCATCCTGGTAGTTAGCATGGACGATGACATGGGTTCCGAAACTGAGGGGCACAATCGTCAATTTTTGAAAGAAAAAAAAAATTCTAAAAGAAATTCTTCTATATCTAGGTTTTAAAAAAAGGTCTCTTAGAAAAAAAGTGGAGGAAGGCACGTGCCCTCTAGCCCCCTCTCCCGTACTATCGGCCCTAGTTAGCTACATCTAGGGAAGACATCTTGTCCTCGGGTTATCCCGGGATTGAATAGAAAAAACGTAATTGTAGGAAGTAAAGCATAAAAAGAACTAACATTTTAAGTTCAACATATAAAAATGATTTAATGATGATATAACAAAAATATTTCATTCATTAATGAATCTAGGTAATTTAAATTGTAAAACAGTATATATTAACATACATAAATATACATGAGTTATATTTATTTTTGAATCTACTACCCTAAAAAATCAAAGCGTCAATCATTTCATTGCTTAATCATATTCAATTTTTTGAACATAAAAACCCAGCAGCTGAGAATGCTAGTTCGGACACCTAGCTTATTGGCCGTATAGATAGTATATAATCGTATGTTATTTAAAGGTGATCACATATTAAACTACCACTTTCAAATAACAGTATTTCTTTTTGAGTTTTAAAAGTTATACTTTCTACCTTATAGATTGTGTTCGTATTGCCAATTTTTTTTCCGTAACTTCATTTAATTGTTTACTAATTGGTTTGATCACATTCATGGCTTGATAAAGCCTGGTTTAACTGAGCACAACTATCAGTACTCAAGTCTAATACTGATGCAGTTTAAACAATCTATCAGATTTATCTTAACTTTTTTATTATAAGTACTTGTTTTTGGTACAAAAACTTCTAAGATTTTTTATGAAGTAACATGGCCATAAAGATTTACTAAGCTCCTTAGTATCATACAATTGTTTTCCGATTTCAGCTATTTTTTTTTATTTTCGTCAACATAAAATCTAATGCAATGTCAGAAACTAAAGTTGCGTCTTGTCGACAAAGTGCTAACACAATTGCTTTAACGAAAGTCAAAAGTACTACTAAATCAGGTATCATTCTACATTCCTTTTCGTTCATCTTAATTGAATCATCAATGTAGGAATCCAATTTTAAACCTAGAAGTATCTTTTTAACACAACTACTTTTTTAACTTGTACTTCACAAATCGGTCTAGCATAAGCAACAAGCTGCTTCATCGGGTTTTGAAAAAAAAAATCCATGGTTAAATGAATAACCTTTCAAACTCAATTTTTACTTACTTTGGTAAATAATTTTCATTTTTGTTTGGACATCTTTTAAACATTTTAACAATTTTCTTGACTTTTATTATAACGGGTCCAATAATTTAGTATTTAATTTTGATTTAGAAGTTTCATTAATTAACAATGAATCATATGAATCTCAAAAAAATCTTTCTCTAATAATTCCTTAAATATGCGTTATGCATTTTAATAACTTCATTATTAAACAGACATTAAGTAAACTTTTGTAATTTTATACAAAAATTCGTTCTAACTTTTATTCTAAAACTTCTTGGTAATGATATTTCTTCAGTACTTTCTAAATTACTTAATCTCTCATTCGCGACAGGTATATTCCCTAATATTTTAAAAACTGCATCTGTTAAATTAATCCATAAAAAAGACTCAAAACTTTAATAGCAATAAACCAATATCATTATTATCAAATATTGGAAAAATTCTCGAAAAAATAATGTATTCTCGTATCTATCACTTTCTTGATTCTTCTAAGTGTCTCTTGATCTCCAAAAAGCATTTGATACAGTTGACCATGACATTTTAAAAATTGCTATGGCATACTGGGTATCGCTAATGATTGGTTTTCATCCTATATTTACAATCGTACTCGATTAATGGATTTCAACCCACAAGTAAAGTTATTAAGTATGTTGTCCCACAGGGTTCTGTTCTTTACTGTTTTTAATATATATTAACGATCTGTCTCACTCTATAAATAATTCGATTGTTCATCATTCGTTGACGGAACTAATCTTCTATGCATAAATAAATCACTCACATAGCTTTGTAAAAAGTTAACTCAGATCTCCATCATTTATGTCATTGATTAAATAGCAACCGTCTTTCTCTAGATATCAATCTGACTGAATTTACTATTTTTCACCCTCCAAATAAAAATATTGATTGTGATAATGTGAAAACTAGAATAAAAAACGGTGAAAGACTTTTCCCATCTAAATATATAAAATACCTCGGACTATTTCTTGACAAAAACCTATCATGGTACAATCAACTAATTCAATATAATAAAAACTTTCACGTACCAATAGCATGTTGTAATTAATACGACACTATGTTCCCCAACATATTCTAATATCAATTTACTATTCCTTGTTCTCCTCACATCTAAGTTATTGTTGGACTGTTTGGGGTCAAAAATGTAGTTTTCTATTACATCGTATAAACAGTTTACAATGCACTTCCATAAGAATTATGATACTGTCCTTTACAATCTAATATCGAAATTAGTTTTTCTGAATGAAAAATTCTAAAATTTCAAGATCTTGTAAAGCTTTATAATTGTCTCTTTGTGTTTGATTTTTTTCAAAATAAACTACCAAATTCGTTTAATAATTTTTTATTAAAACACACAAATATTACACTCAAAATACTAAAAATTTTAACTTGCACACTACCTTTTTCAGCACTATCGAAAGCATCAATGTATCTTTCACTGGAACCAAATAATACCATTTATAAAAAAAAAAAAATTTAACTAAGTACCCTTTTATTACTAACATTCTTCTTCTCAATTGAAACTAAAGTAAGAAATTCTTATTTGAGTATATAATCAATGAATATTAATTTTATCTTTTATTATTATTGCTTTTTTTATAATACTCTATTTATAAAACTGTTACTTTTATTTTTTACTCTCTTTTTAAACTCTACTAATATTACTATTATCATTAATTTACCTTTGTTTTATAAATCTTAATAATATTATTTATAATGAATGTGATAGTGATTCAATCGTAGTAATAGTTTTATGGTTATTGTCTTAATTTTTGCAATTGTTATGTTTATTTTAATAATTTCTGTCATTGTTATAAACTTTACTTTAATTATTTTTACCATAGTTTTTATCATTAGTTATAATTTTTAGTATTTTTATTATATTATTATTGCAATTATTAGTACTACTTTTGTTAATTAGCTTTATTTTCTTTTCTGTTTGTTTTTTTCCTCTTTATTTTATATCAACCTCTTTCTATGTTTTACTTAAAGGTTTTTATTTTTGTATTTGTTTTTTTTTTTTGTTTTTTAGTTGTTTTTTTTTGTTTGTTTTTTAGGTGTCATTTCATTGACTAATTTTTAACTATATGAGCGACACCTAACGTTATATATGTTAGTTTATAAAATATTATTGTAAATTTTTATATTTTATGGTTAAATAAATGGATTAATAATAAACCTTCTGTATTTTGATAACTAAACCTATGTTAAATTAAACTGATGTTAAAAAAACATTTGCTCATATATCACGCACACATTTGGAATTAAAATAAATTTGAACATTTAAGATAAAATCATGGTATACCTTCTATTAAAAATTTTTGTTCTTCCCATCAGCAAGTGCTAAAATTCAATTTATTTTTAATAATATATTAGTTTTAATATTTTGCTATATATACATTTTTATATGTTTAATAGTACATTTTTTGAAGATGAGCAATAATATTTTTAGTTTGAGTTTTCGAAAAATACAGAAAGAAAGAGAAAATAAAAAGAAAATATTGCTAAGAGAATAAACAGTTATAAAACCAAACACCTACTAAACCAAACCCTATATTTAAATTTTTTGATGTGCAAATTACTTAATTACAAAATAAGCTTAAACTTTTTGTACTTTTACATTTTTGACAATCCCGAAATCCCAGTAAATTTCGGAGACTAATCCCGGAATTTCGGGATAAACAATTTGTATGGAGTCGTGGGATTTCAGGATCCGGATTTCGTCCCTAGCTACATCCAGGTGCAAAATAAGCTAAATACTAGCTGGCAATTTTTTTTCTCACATTATTGTTCCACTTTGTCTTTTACATCTTAAAAAATTCGATTTTTAGTATTGAATCTATTATAGTTATGATAATAATTAAAATTGTTACGCTTTTGAATTTGTAAACTTGTTGTTCTATTAATTCGAAATGTCTCTATCTAGATATTGCAACTTTGTAGTTAGCTATATTGTTAAAATATATTGACAGCTACAAATCATAAATATCTAAGTTGTAACATTGCAATTTTATTGCGACATATTTCTATCTAGATAGTGCACTTTTGTAGCTATTGAAATTACTAATATATATCGTTAGCTGTATAACGTCAGGGCCGATGACACGGGTTTCGAAGTGGAGGAGCACAATTGTCAATTAAAAAAAAATTCCTCTATATCTAAAATTATATAAAAAAAAAGGTCTTTTAAAAAAAAAAAGTGTGCGTTTGCATGTGCTCCCCTGGCCCCCAGTTTTTTAAACTTCCATATTGAATATAATTTACATGTTTTTGTTTCTATTTAGAAGTTAATACATTTGCCAGTTTCGGCTAAAATAGTATTAACAAATCCATTATTTGAAGTGAAACCAGGTTTTTCTTATAAAATAATTAAATATTTTTTTGAAATAAAAAAAAAAACCACACATATACCTCTTAATGTTTCACTTTCTAAGGTTAGTTCTTCAGCAGATATTTTCATGTCTAGATCAACTTAGTGCAGCCGTAGTGTAGTGGCTAGATTTATGGCTTCAGAAACGGTCCGTATTTTGAAGTTGGTTCTGGCCATATTTTAATCATTTGTAAGGAAGAAGAACTTTCTGGCTAAATACAGTTCTCAGCGCTCTGTGATAAAATCGTTAGGACTTCTTGGAGCACCTAAATACTCTAAGAAGTTAGATGTTTAGTAAACATCCAACTTCTTGGATGATGATGACCTGTTGGATGTTTAGTAAACATCCAACAGGTTATAAATGTTGTAGCTTATTTTATTGATATGTAGTTTCATGATTATTGTTCTATAAAGTTTTTCCAATAAAGAAAACCCTTTATCCATTTTATAAAAGACGTTTTTTGTCCACCACATTTAACTTTACCAAGCTCTTGCTGTTCAGCAAACATTTTTTTACAAAAAATAATTGAAAATGCTCTGTTTTCCAATTGTAATTATTACAGCATATTTTTAATATGCTGTAACAATTAGTAAAAGCAAAACATTTTCACATTCTTATACAAGTTAGGCAGTAAAGTTAGATTTCAACTAAATAAAGTTTTTCGCTTAAAAAATAAAGTGTAAATAAACATGTGTTTATATACACCTATAATACACTCAAGTTCACAACTAACAGTAATAGCAGGTTAACAAGTAGAACCATGATTAGTTTTAAACTTTGATCATACTTTGTTAATACGGGAGAGCGAGGCTAAAAGTCATAAGGATTAGTTGTGATTAGTCGCTATTTCGGAATGTTATAGCTGGATTGATGCTGCCATTTTTTGATATTATATAAATAGTGTTGAAAGATGACTACTCAGTTCATGAAATTTGCGCGAATGGTTTTTCTACAAATCCAAAAAAGTAAAAATCTCGTTGTTAAGTAACTTTTTAACTTTTTTGTTCAAATGTTTAATACAGTAACAATATGCAATACTCGTATTTAATACATTTTATAGAATTTTGGAAGTTCTTTTATTGGTGTGCTAGTCATTTTTCAGATTTATGGCAAGGATAAAAAGTAATTTAGGTCAAACCTTCTTCTCTCCCATGTGGGGTAAGTTGTCCTAATTTAATGTGGGCAAGTTGTCATATAAAAAAAATTGCCTTCATACTCTCATATAGTTGTAAAACTCTTAAATGAATGTTAATAATATATGCAATACTTATTATAAGTAATAAACATCACTAATATTTAAGATCAACATTATTAAATGATAGTTATAGACAGTTATAAATTTATATTTACTTGGACTTGATTTTTAATTTACAAACAAAAAATAGCCTAACATTTTTTTTGCTTTATCAGATTTTAAATCATGGTTGGCAATTATCAAAGGAAAACCAGTAGAGGCACCACTGCTAAATGCACAATCCTTAAAGCAGTGACTCAGTGGCGGATCTAGCATTTTAAAAGAGTGATGCGAAATTTTTGTAATAGAAACCCCCTACCCCATCATCCCTAAGGTTTAAGTATAGTCAATTTCAAAAGTGGAGGGAAAGCAAAAAGGCGTAGCAAAGGTGGGGCGGATATGCCCCAGACGGCTTTTTTTTTGAAGCGAAACCGCTTTTTGTGTCATTAAATAATAACTAAATTTGTTTTGTATTGCTTTAGTAGTATCTAATTTTTTTAGAAATTTTCACAAATGTTGCCTTGGCTATTTCGTGCATAAATTAGATATGTAGTTTTAAGTCTAATTTACTTAACAAAGTGCACCAACGAGAAGGTAAGCCATAGTACTTTTGCACTTCATCTGTGTACTATTATTTTGACAAAGGTTAGCCCTCTATTTCTGGATTCTTTCCTTTTCTTGAAAAGCACGTAATGTAAAGTAATATTAGGCTATTTATCAATGTAAAGTAATATTAAGTTAAATAATATTATAATTATAAAGGTTTGCTCTCCATCTAGATTCTATCCTTTTCTTGATAACAGTTTATGTAAAGTATTAGTAAAAGGGATGCGGAGTCCAAAAAAGGACTCCGGATTTGAAAGTCACAAAAAGATTACTTTATCTTAGTTTTTGCTATCCATGAGCTCTAAAAATATAAATACGTTTATGGACTACTAATAGGAAAAAAATTAAGACTTTTAGGTTAGAGAAACAATCATTGTTTGGACCCGTAGTCCAAAAAATAATTGTTTCTTTAACCTAAAAGTCTTAATTTGATTTTCCGGACTTAAGTTTCATTAATTTTTTTCTTATAGCAGATCATAAGTCAACAAACATGTTTAAAGCTTCTGGACACTACATGCTTGGAAAAAGTAGAGATATAAAGCCGAAGTCCTTTTGGGACTCCGCATCCCTGATTAGTAATCTTATTTAAGGTTAATCCTCCATTTTTGAATTCTTTTCTTTTCTTGATAAGAAGTTTTTATTTATTTATTAATTTTTATTATATTTTTTTTATTAAAGATCAATTAATATAAAATAAATAAAGTGTGTTTCATCAATAAAGACTCATCAGAAATGCATTTCTGATGAGTCTTTATTGATGAAACACAGTGTTAAACGAAAAAAAAATTTTCTAAGTGATTTTCTACTACTTTATATATAATATATATATATATATATATATATATATATATATATATATATATATATATATATATATATATATATATATATATATATATATATATATATATATATATATATATATATATATATATATATATATATATATATATATATATATATATATATATATATATATATATATATATATATATATATATTATGTCAATGGCCTTTAAAATACTAGCAACAGTTAAAGAAATATTTGACTCGTTTTTCAAAAATAATTCCCATGAATCTAACTCAGCATGTATTGAAGTAAAATGATTCAGATAAATAGTTTTTAAAAATTCATAAAAATCAGATTTCAATGGTTTCTTAACTTGTATTCTGGACTGTACAGTAGAAGGAACTGCTGCTAGACCTTTATAATTAAACATACTATTTTCTTGAAATCTATTACATAGCTCATTAATAAGATGTTCAATTAATGGAGATGTAATGCTATGTTCAAAATAGTCACAAACTGTATTTGTTGGATAATTATATTGGTAAACCTGAAAAGTACACAATCTAGGTCTCATTTCTTGGATATCAAGACTAAAACCAAAAGCCGAACTAAAAGCAATAGGTAATACAACTAAATTATGTCTATACCCTTGGTTTCTACAATTTTCAATATTAAGCCCAAATAGTCTCTTGAAGTCTATTAAGTAATTTTAGTAAGTAATTTTATTAAATTTAGAGATAGAAAGTAAATTTAGAGATAGAATAAGACCAGATGTACCAGTCTTGCAATCAATAAATGTTAGGAAATCCTCGCAAATCTTATAATTTGAATTTACATATCTTAAAAAAAGTGACATTTGTTCAGTATTTGAACAGTCAACTGCTTCATTACAAAGAATAAAAAAAAAATGCTTAACATTTTTAATTAAAGCTAACTCAATTGTTTTCCCACAAGAATCAGTTAGTTGGTTTTGGGTAGTTTTTGATATAAAGGTTGCATATTTTGGACTTAAAAAGATGATTAGCTAATATTCAATCAATCAGCATTAACGCAAATTTTTAAAAGCTGTATAAAGGTACCTCTTGCAATTAAAAAACATTATTGTTTTAATTATAGGAACAAATTTTTATCAGTTATCAGAAAAGGTTTTAAACAAGATTTGTTTAAATCAACCTCAATAACATTATTTTTGGGGTTGCAGCATGAAGATAATGCATTGTAAAAACACAACTTTTTCATGTTTTTTAAAATCATGTACAGCATTACCCCATTCTTAATGAGGCTTGAAAACTAAATTTGGTATTCCAGACTTATTTGGAATACAAGCACATAGAAAAGTAAAAGGAAAACAGTAAACTCAATCTTCTTTGTTAGAATAAGCTAACCAAAAATAATGGCTGAGTCATTATATTTTAAATGATTTTTTTGTATTAATAGTCTATTAAGTATCTACTAAATAAATATTGGAAAAACAAATATAGAATTTGAACGAAATACTTTGTTTACCATATCTATCAAAATTGCATCGTCTTTGCCAGCGGTTAAAAGTTTACCATGGGTTAGATATGTTGAAACATCATATAAAGTATTTGATTCTTTATATAAAGGAATATTAGCTGAGTTGGAATCTAATCACTCAAATATTTTAGAATCTACAGAAAGTTCAAAAGGCAACTCAATAAAAGGAAAGTTAATTTTAGATTGGATTTTGACATGTTTTGCAGAATTAACTTTTTCTGTAAAAGAAACATTAGAGAATTGTTTTTTATTTGTTTCATTTTTAGGACTAATAAAGTGTAAAGGATAAGTAAAAATAAATAAAAAATAGTATATAAAACAAGATCAGTTTATTTTATTTTCTTACTGGAAATATATAAATATCATCTAGCTTCCGGATAAAACAATCCATTTCAGAATTTTCAAGACTGACTTTATGGCTACACTGGACACTTGTTACTTAAAATTTTCAACTCTTCAGGTAACTGATTTTTACATTTGCAAATATTTTGCAAATATTTAGCATTAATTGCATTTGAAACTAAAAAATTTATCTTTGTTTCAAAGCTTTATTTACTAGCTAGTCTTACGACAAAAAATTACAAGCAAAAAGTACATATATCAAGTGGCATATCAGAATTTTTTAAATTTAGAACAATTTGGAGCAACTGATGCAATTGCTCTAAACTTTTTACAAAATTGATTGGTTAATAAAAACATTCTTCTATCATATTTAATGATATATTATATAACTAGATGTCTAACTTCATTACGAAAAGTGAAGCCGCTTTTTTGCCCTTTTTACAAATGGCGGATTAAATTTGTAAACAAATATTTTTAACTTTTCTTTTCTTAAATGAAGTAAATATATTTTAAATTTAAATACTATTTACGTAAAAGTGTTAAGCGGAAATTATAATACTTGTAAAATAATAATTTATGATTCCTTAATTTATTTTCGATTAAAAAGGGATTAAAGTTTTAAATAAAAAAGTAAAACGTTTTACTATTTTGAAGCATTTTTATGAATTAGAATATTTTTTAATAAACATAGATTCATAAAAAAACTTTTAAAAGTATTTTATAATTGTTAAAACGTGTTTTTGAATTATCTTTAATTTATTGGGAACTTTTGACTTGCATTTTTAACTTTTATTCTACACTTCGGTTTCAGCTTTTGCCCTTTTTATAAATGGCGGACTATTGTTATAAACAAAAAAAAAGCGGCCTCACTTTTTGTCCAATAAAATCCCGAAAGATAGACATCTAGTTATATAATATATCCTTGATTATATTTGAAACATTTTTTTGCGGAAGGTTTGTAGCAACTGATGCAATTGTTATTTTAATAAACAGTGATTGGCTTAAACTGTTTTTTAACCAATCATTTATGATTTAGAGAACAATTGCATCACTTGCTAGGAAGTGATAGGAAAATTTTTTTTAAAATTTACAAGTACGATTGGTTAAAGCCTAAAATATTTCTTCTTTAACCAATCACATTTGTATTTGGTGAAGAGCAATTGCATCAGTTGCTCCAAAACGAAGGAAATTTTGTCTAAGTAACGAATAAGTAATTATAGAAATCAAATAAAATCGAGATTATATGTAATAATTTTTTTCGAGTTTAAAAAAAATTCTACATTTTTTGAGAATATCAGATTATAATTTCTACTTTAACTTTTTATTATGAAAAAAAAGTGAAAAAGAGATACACTTAAATTTAGCGGTGAAAAAGGACTGATGTACACCCTTGATCCGCCCCTGCAGTGAAAGCTGTAAAGTTAAATGGAAGAAGCATAGCCCAGGTGTCTCTAGATTTTAACATCAACTATAGAAGCCTACAACGCTATTTGTCAAAAGCCTATAAAAGATATTAAAGAAAAATCGACAATACCTTCATTTCACACTGGCTACGTACAACCTAGGTTTGTAGATTGTTAATATGTTTAAGGATTATAATATTTATTATAAATGACTCCATCAAATATTTATTTATACTGGTATATATTTTATATTATTTCAGGCAAGTGTTGATACAGGAGCTTCATCTTGAACTCTGTAGCTACTTGCAAAGAGCTTCAGATATTTACTTTAGACTTACACTAAAAGATATTTGGAAATTAGCATATCAATTAGCAGATGCTAATAAAATGGCATTGCTAAAATTATGGATGGACAATCATTGTACTGGGAGAGATTGGTTCATGTCTTTCCTACAAAAAAATCCAACATTGTCTTAAAGAGCTCCAGAGACCACAAGCATTGCACGTGGTATAAGATTCAACAAACACAGTATTGAAATATTTTCCGAACCTATCTGGTCGGATGAAGGAAGACACGTTTTGTAAATTTCTTACTCATTTAGCAAAGAATCCAAAGGCTTTCAAAGGAGCATCAAATTTTGCTACTGGTTGACAATCACTTTTCGCACTTATCATTGAATGCACTAGACTATGCGACAGCACATGAAATTATCATGTTATGTTCTCCAACCCATTGCGCCCACAAGTTGCAGCCACCAAATAGAACTGTCTGTAATGCCTTTAAAAAGTCTGTAAGTACAATCATCAACAGTTAAATGGTCAGTAACCCTGGAAAAGATATGACAGTTTATGATATACCAGAAATAGTGAAGGTCATCTTTCCATTGAGTATGACACCAAATAACATACTAAGCGGCTTTTTTTTCATGAGGCATGCACCTATTTAACCCTCAAATATTTATAGATTTAGACTTTGCTCCAAGTTTAGCAACAGAAATACCTATGCCATTCAAAACCAATTCTCAATTAACAATGCCTCAAGCTTCAAAGGTCAGTGCCGACAACACGGTTGCCGCCTGCCACTCCCCCCTCGGATCGTCCGCCCTCATCGTAGCATTGTTGAAACAAATAATTTGTCAGAAATATTAGTTTAAACAACAATCAAATATGTTTGATGGCAAATAAACCATTGCAGTAAATGAAACCCATAACATTACAAGTTTGGATGATTCTGATGTTGGATGTGAAAATAAAAATGATGTAACTGATTTACACACTTTTCAGAAAACTGAATAATTTTCTGAAAAACTAGAATTGAGTTAGAATGTAATAATAAATTAGATCTTTAAGTACTTTAAGTTTTTAGTTCGGATTATGATCTGAACAGTGTTTCCACTCTGCGTGATTACGTTGTGTTTCCACTCTGCGTGATTACGTTGTGTTTCCACTCTGCGTGATTACGTTGTGTTTCCACTCTGCGTGATTACGTTGTGTTTCCACTCTGCGTGATTACGTTGTGTTTCCACTCTGCGTGATTACGTTGTGTTTCCACTCTGCGTGATTACGTTTTATAAGATTTTTCGATCTGTTTTTGATATTTTTGATTTTATGTAAGATTTCATGATTTTTGTAAGAATTTTCTGTTTTGAATATAAATTAACTTGTAATAAAAATATTATCACAAATTTCTGAACTTACTTTATAAATCTATTGTACATTTATAAAGTGTGGAATAAATGTTATGAAGAAATCCAAGTTGAGAGCATCAAAAGTTCCCAATAAATTAAAGATAACTTTATTTTTAAATTAAAGCTAGGCTCATAAAAAACTTTTATAACTATTTTAAAATTACTAAAACACGTTTTAATAATTATAAAACAATTATAAAAGATTTTTATGAGCCTAGGTTTATTAAAAAGTATTATTTATCATAAAAATGTATCAAAAGCGTCTTTTTACTTTTCTATTTAAAACTTTATTCCCTCTCTAATCTGAAATGAATTTAGGAAACATAAATTGATATTTTACAAGTATTCTCTTAATACTTTTATATAAATAGTGTTTATTGTTCAATTTTGCAAAAGCTGAATTTTCGATTAGTTATTTAATTTTTTTTAATTAGTTATTTAATTTTGAACTGAAATGAATTTCACTTTTCGAAATTCACGATATTCTATCGGTACATTTTTCTATTAACGAAATCCTAAAAATAGCTCCGAAACTATTTTTCGCTTTCGAAATTCTGAAAACTGTACCGAAATATATTCACATTATCAAATATTTACAGAAGCAGTATTTCACTTTCGAATCTCTTTAGTTTCTATTGAAATATTTTTATACGATCGAAATTCTAAAAATGGCACCGAAGCAATATTTCACTTTCGAGTCTCTATAATATGCATCAAAATATATTGTCGAAATCATAAAAACGGTATCGAAACAATTTTTTTAAATTCTAAATTCTGAAAATTACTGTAAAACTATTATTTTAATACATTAATTCTTAAAACTGCATCTAAATGAATACTTATAATAACAGAAAATAAAAACTCTAAAAATTAGCACAAAACAATTCATATTCCGTTCTTATGAATGAATATTAATTGCTGATGTAGTCAAGGCAGGCGCGAAGGGTGTATGTGGGAGGAGGGAAGGACGGCGACATCCCCCCATTCAATGAATCAGTCGGTAAATTTAGATCTAAAGATAGGTTTATTCAGCAAAATTGGACTTTCATATTTATCAATTAGGACTTTGATATTTATCAAAAAGGACTAAATATTTATCACAACAAAGCAAATTGGAAAATTAGAGGCTTTTTTTTTATTTCTTGATTTTATAATGGTTTTATATGGGTTTCAGTTTTTTTTTTTAATTTTTAGTATCAACCTCATCTATATCGAGAAAAGTTTTAACTCCACTTATATAAGCGTACTTAAAACTATACGTCCGTTATTACGATAGTGTAACTATAATTATATAACTTACGATAGCAGATCTTTGGTTTGATAATAAATAGTAGAAAAGTTTCCAGATTTTATTTGCAAGATTAAAGGTAAGTTTCTAAATTTTATCTGCATAAAATTTATTTTGCTTTAAAAGTTTATTTTACCGCACTTGCAGTAAAAATAAATTTTATATTAAGATAAACCGCCTACAATGTTTTCCATATATATATTTAACTTGTTTCCAGTTTTTTTTTTTTTTCAAAAAATGCGCCGTGTTTGCATTAACGGTTTTGCAGAAAACTTGTTCATTTTAATTTCTCTATTTTCTTTTAGGAATAAAAACTGAATTTGCTTTGAAAAAAATATTTTTTTATAAATAAAAAAACTGGCACACAGCGATATCAGTAAAAAAATGTTTTGCGTGTTCCATCTGTTTTTTTTCTCTATATAGTTTTTGTTTAAAAAAAAAATCATTTTTAGGTTTATAATATTTATATATATATATATATATATATATATATATATATATATATATATATATATATATATATATATATATATATATATATATATATATATATATATATATTATTTTTTAAGTTGATTAAGGTGCCCCAAGAAGTCATTACGGTCTTATCACAGAGCACCGCGGAAGAGCATTTAATTGGAAGTTAACGCCTCCTCCAACCGATGTCGCAAAACTTGCCGGAGGTAGGGTTTGAACCACGGATCTTACGTTTCTGAGGCAAGTGCGCCACGGCTGCTTAAATATCTATACATATATATATATATATATATATATATATATATATATATATATATATATATATATATATATATATATATATATATATATATATATATATATATATATATATATATATATATATATATATATATATATATATATATATATATATATATATATATATATATATATATATATATATATATATATATATATACCCAGGCCCGTTTGTAGGTTGTCCTTGCCCCCCAGCGAAATAATGGCTGTGGCCTTTTCAGACCTCCCTCCCCGAAAAAAATCGTATCCTTTGTTTTTATATGCTAATATAGCGCTGAAAGACATTTTTTTTCTACTATTAGAACTGTAGCAGTTTCCTTTTTTTCCCTTTTTGAAGTTTAAAATTTTTTTTTCTCCGTTACAATTTATAACAGCAGCAGAAAAAAACATCCTTAAAACAACATTGACGTTTGAGACTGGATTCAATTTTCTTTGATTAAATAACCAGAAGTAAATTGAGATGATTTGTTTTTTTGGATTCAATTATATTGTTTCAACTGAAAAAGACTAAGTTTTTGTAATGCACTTTTTTATTCAGAATATAAATGTCCGCATCGTTTAGGTAAATTTAAAAAAGTTCTTTTGCGTACACTGTGATCACAACAGAATCTATATCTAAAAGACAGACAGAGAATCCAAGACAAGAGAAGCATAAGCTTGTGTTCACTTTTCAATCTCAGTTAGAAGTTGATCCATAGTGACCTGAAATCATAACCTCAGAAACCATTTTTCCTTTCCCAATAAAGTCTGATACCTCAATAGACGTCAATTCGTCATGTTTCCGTTTACGGGCTCATCAGAGCAGCGACGGATCTAGGATAGGATATGACCATTCAGGATCTGTCACATCGTTTCATCCCAGGCGTGTACAATGCAACAAACAATTTTTCTTTCGCCAACATAGATAAAAAAAAATTTAACTTTTATTAAAAAAAATTCTTAAAAAATTCTTTGTTTTTTCTCAAATAGATTTGAGACAAAACAAAGTAACTCCTAATTTAAATAATACTAAGTTAAATAATAAAATGAAAGAAACATATTTTAAGCAATATTACAGTGTAATATATCTAAATGAATATATACAAGTGCAAAAAGTTTTTGATGCAATTTTGTTCAACTTGTTTTTAATTTATAAAACTTTTAAATTTATAAATTCAAAAGGTTTTTAAATGTATAAATCTTTTGAATTTATAAATTTGAATAATATATATATATATATATATATATATATATATATATATATATATATATATATATATATATATATATATATATATATATATATATATATATATATATATATATATATATATATTTTAAGAGACTTAGTGATACGACTGAATTTGTCTTTTTCTTGCCCTAGCCATGTATTTATATATTTGTATTTGCTTAATCTCGTAAACTTTTCTTATCGTCGAAATACATTGAATCTCCTAAAACCCCTAACTCTTCTCTGTCACCAAAAAGTACAACTCCAAACAGCGAGGACCATCGTGTTTCTTACAAGTGATGACAGTTCCATAATAACAACTGGAAAAAAGCAGGCTGTAACAAAAAATAAAGATAAAAAACAAAAGCGACTACTACTTGAATCATTAATAAACTTTTATGAAAAATTCAGTGCGGAATATACGAGAAACAATATTTCATATACGATATTTACTCGTTACCGTCCATTTTTTGTCTGCAAACTATCTGCTAAAGATAGAGACGCATGTCTGTGCAAAAAATACGGAAACATACAATTAACTTGTGATAAACTTATTACCCTGAGTTTAAAAAAAAAAAAATATTGAAGAAGTAGTGAAACATGTTTGTTGTAGTACTGATAGAAGAGAATACGTGTTCAGAGAATGTAACATTTGTTTGGACTACCATTTGTTTGGACTACCATTTGTTTGGACTACCATTTGTTTGGACTACCATTTGTTTGGACTACCATTTGTTTGGACTACCATTTGTTTGGACTACCATTTGTTTGGACTACCATTTGTTTGGACTACCATTTGTTTGGACTACCTTGTTTGGACTACCATTTGTTTGGACTACCTTGTTCAATTTCAGGCAAAAGGATTGCTAAAAGATGAAAGTATTATAGCTTGGTTCCAGTGGGAAAAAGAGAAACAGGAATATGAAAAGAAGGGAGAAAAGAAAACAACAAATGTTATCAGGAAAAGATCTTAAAGTAAAATTCTGTGAATCAATTCGAAACGAGCTATGCAAGCATGTTTTTATAATAAGACACTAGTTTAGAATGTACAAACATTTAAAAGAAACGGTAAATGTGAGCGAAGCTATTATGCATATAGATTTTTCTGAGAACTATGTGTGCAAGAATTTAGCTGTAATTTAATCTTCGCATTTTGGAGCAAGCAACAAACAAGCTAGATTGCATACCGGAGTAATTTATAAAATGGATGCACATCAGTTATTTACAACTATATCCGACTCTTTGAGACACAATCCTCCTTCTATATGGGCACATCTGGAACCCGTGCTAATTAAACTCAAGTTAGATAACCCACAAATTACTTCATTTTTTTCCTGATGGACTAACCACGCAATATAGGAATAAGCAAAACTTCTTTATACTCAACAGTGCTATAAGAATTAAAATTTCAATTAGCGAGTTGGAATTTTTTTGAAAATGGACATGGCAAGGGAGCACCAAATGTGATAGGAGGATGTATGAAACGTTAGGCGGATAAATTGGTTAATATGGGCCGTGACCTTCCAGATGTAGAAAGTTTATACAATTTGAATTTGAATTTGAACAGTGGTAAAAGTACTACCTCGGCTAATACAAAGGTCAATGATTATCAATTTCAACATTTAAGCATCAATATCAATGATCTAGTTAATTTTGATGCAAATTTGTTGATTGAAGCAAATGATGTTGTGAGCGATAACGAATTTCTTCACATTAATGATGTATGGTAATGATTGGTATTCTAGTAACGGAGCAGACAGTATTTGTACAATTTAAATTTTACTCC